AAAAAAAAGAAAGAGTTTACCAATAAGACCTCCTAGGCTAAGGAAGCAGCCAAAAAGCAAAAACTGAGGTGGAGGCGTTAAAGAAACTACAAGCTGAGGAGTTCGTGAAACTTGCTTCTACCTTGGTGAAATTGATAATCTTAAAAAGAAGGTCCACTTGTCTCAAAGTGAGGTAGCCTCCATGTCGAAGCGGGTGGAGACTTCTAAGGCCCATCAAAAGCTGGTTGTTGAGGCCTGGAGAAAGCCAATAAAGAAAATACTACTTTGAAATAGTAGATGGGAAAGTTGAACTCTATAATTTTTGGCTTAACAGAGGAAGTGGAGATAGCAATGATAGAAGTTGAATCTGTTGGCAATGAAGCTGAGAAGCGGTACATTGCCAACTTCCACCTTACGGAGGCATGCCAAAGTTTTGCTAAGTATTGGCAAAGGCATGCCTATACTGAGGTGTTTGAGTGGATTGAAGTGAACTCTCAGACCTTCAACACCTCTAAGTTAAGGTCTGAATTCTTAGAGGAGTGAGAAGAAGAGCTTCAAACTCTGGTGAAGTACAGCCATGTGATAGAAATTGAAGATAAAGCTACTGAAGAAAAACTGCTAAGGTAGCTTCAAACGCCATTGTACCCATTGTGCCTCCTCATTTTCCACCCATTTAGTGATAGGGCCTTAGTAAATTTTTATTTCTATTTCATGTAAATGGCTTAAGCCCATAGTTATAATATTTTCCTTAATGAATGAAACACATTTTTCTTGTTTACTATATTTACAGCATTTTCATTTATGAAGTCAATGTCTTGTAGCACTTCATTTTGTTATTTGAGACTAGTTTGTATTCGTAATTTTTATAAATGTTGGCAGCTCGTGCGCTTTTTATTTATTTTCTGAGCGTGGGGTTAAATAGTTCATTTATTTTGAGATTTCCTTAAACATTGGTTAAGGGTTATTTTAAGCTCCATCTCTTAAGCTTTTTTAAATAACTTCGCAAGTTAGGAGGCAATCCATTTTAGGATCCATCCTTTCATTGAAATGCCCATGCTTCATAGGGACGATTTATTCGTTTAGATGCTTCTTCCTTAAATTTTGTTAACAGGAGCATTTTTTCTTTATGGTAAAGACTTTCAATATAGCAAACTTTTATTATCAACATAGATGCTCCTCATTCCATGGATGAGGCTTTGCGTTTCCATCCATACTTTCAATTTTATAGATTCATGGTCAAACCTCTTTCCTGATGCAATAAGGACCCATCCAATTGGAGCCAAGGATTCCGACTCGTGACTCTTTAAAAGATAGGAACACCTTTCGTGGCACAAGATCATTCAGGAAAAATGACTTCTTTTTTTTACCTTATTTGGGATTTATCCCTCATTTCTTCAAACAAGTCTAGTTCACACCTTCTCAACTCGTCATTAGATATTTCATTAAAATGTATGCGACGAGAAGATGATAGACCCACATCAACTAGACTCATAGCCTCAGCTCCGTAAGCAATGGAAAAAGGAGTTTCTCCTATAGTTGTTCTAATAGTAGTTTTAAAGGCCCACGAGACTTGAGATAATTCATCCACCCAAGCCCCTTTAGATGCATCCAATTTCCTCTTGAGTGTGAGTTTGATGATCATATTGACAACTTCAACCTATCCATTAGCATGCGGATGATGTGGGGAAGAAAAGTGCTTTCTGATTCCTAATTCTTCACATAAGCTTGTGACCTTCTTGTTCTTAAAATGTTAGCTACTATCAGAAACAATTGTATGGGAAATTCTGAACAGGCATGTGATATTTTTCCATAAAAATTTGGAAGTATTTGCTTCAGTAATTTTGGCCAGATGTTTATCTTCGACCCATTTTTTAAAGTAGTCAATAGCAATAATTACGAAGCTAGCACCACTTCTTCCTTTTGGCAAATGCTTAGGGGCTAGAAACATCACTTAGCTCTTGAGAAGTCTATCTCTGAACTATTGCAAAACGTTGCAAATTATCGCGCCTTTTTGCAAATTGTAGTGCATCCTTTTTTAGTGTGGGCCAATAATATCCCTATCTTAACATATTTTATGCTAGAGATTATCCTCCCATGCTGTTGCTACATATCCCTTCATGAATTTCTTGGAGTGCATAGGTGGCTTGCTCAACACCTATACATCAAAGCAAGGACAAAGAGAAACTCCGCTTGTATAAGACATCATCTTGGAAAATGAAGTGAACGGCTCGTCTTTTGAGCTTCTATGCCTCCTCTTTGTCGGAGAGTATGGCTTGATCTTTGAGGAATGCAATTATTGGCTTCATTCATGGAGGAGTATCTTTGACTTATATTACTTCTTCTTTAGCATTAGAGGGTCTAGAAAGGTGCTCTATAGGAACATTTGTGAGTAGTTCGAATCTTTGCTGCTTGTCAATTTTGAAAGAACATTAGTGTGAGCATTTCCTGAGCGTGGGTTTGTACTAATTCAAAATTTCAAAAGCTGGCAAGAGTGTCATGACTAGTTTTAGATAGGTAGTCATGGTCTTATCTTTATCTAAAAAATTGCCATTAACCTTGCTAACCACCAACTGAGAATTACTGCTGATGACCAACCTTTTCACTTACATCTCCCTAGTTAATCTAGGCCAACTAGAAGGGCCTCATATTTCACTTCATATTGGTGGCCTTGAAGCAGAACCTTATAGCACAATTGAGCTTGTGTCCTTTCGGACTAACCAAGACCACCCCTGCTCCAGATCCAGTGTCTCCCGATAAGCCATCAAAGAAAAGGCTTCAAGTAGGTGGCTCATTAGGTTTCATTTCTTCTTCTATTTCTTGATTAGGGATGAATACTGCCATGAAATTTGCCAAAGCCTGTCCTTTAACAAAAGTCCTTTATTCAAAGATAAAATCAAATTCACTAAGTTCTACAAGCGATTTCATTAACCTTCTCGAAGTCATTGGGATTCTATAGCACTTTCTTAAGGGAAAAGATGATGAATACTTGTATAATATGGGCCTAAAAATATGGTCTCAACTTTTAGAAAGCC